CTCTTTGTGTACATCGTAAAACAAAACAAAAATAATTCGCGGATTTTCACAAAAAATTTCGCGGATTTTCAAAATTTTAAAAAATTTAATGACGATCGAATTTAGATAGAGACAAATATTTGAAATTTTGATGATTCATAAACCTTCCCTGGAGTACCTAGATGTCCCACAAAAAATTTGGGCCCGATCGGTTCAGCCGTTTTGACGTTTATTGGATACAAACAGACAAACAAACAAACAGACAAGCCAAATTTATATATAGATAAACTTACCAAACTTGAGAGATATGTTTATATGGAAATATGTTAATATAAACTTACCAAACTTGAGAGATATGTTTATATGGAATTATGTTAATACTAGGCTTTTAGGGCGCTTCGCGCCCATCTTCTATTTAAATTGTGATTATGTTCTTTTTGTTTACATTTTAAAACAAAGAAAAAATTTTGCGGATTTTTAAAAAAAATTCGCGGATTTTCAAGAATTTAAATTTTTTTACAAAATTAAAAACCTTTAAAAATCATTTTTTTTTAAATATTTATCATTCATAAACCTTCCCTGTGGTCACGTGATGTCCCACAAAAAATTTGAGCCCGATTGGTTCAGCCGTTTTGACGTTTATTGGATACAAACAAACAAACACCCAGACAAGCTAAATTTTTATATAGATAAACTTACCAAACGGTTAGAAATTAGTTTGTTTAAAATTTGAGAATTTGACAGGATTATTGATGGAAATTATAAATATGCAAAACTCATCATGATTTTTATATTATTTTAGATTAGTTTGGATTACACTAAATTCTCAAACTGCCCTGCTTCTAAATGTATTTGGATATCAGGATACAGCAATTTTATATTTGGACATTAGGATACAGTAAAGTATATATTGGGATAACAGGATTCAGCAAGTTTATATTTGGATAACAGGAAACAGCAAGATTATATTTGGATAACAGGATACAACAAGTTTATATTTGGATAACAGGATACAGCAAGTTTATATTTGGATATCAGGATACAGCAAGTTTATATTTGGATAACAGGATACAGCAAGTTTGTATTGGGATAACAGGATACAACAAGTTTATATTTGGATAACAGGATACAGCAATTTTATATTTGGATAACAGGATACAGCAATTTTATATTTGGATAACAGGATACAGCAATTTTATATTTGGATAACAGGATACAGCAAGTTTGTATTTGGATACAAGAATAAAGCAAATATATATTCGGCTATTTATGTTCTAATTTATAAAAAAAATATAATTTTTCAAAGTAATGTAAATATTGATAAAAAAAACTAGTCCCTTACCTCAAAGTCTAATTTTCTAATCATATTTTTTTAGCAGTCGGTTGTCAAGGGCCTTTGATATCTCAAAATTTGAACATGAATTTAACCTTTCCCTGATTTATTGATTGAAGTGTGTGTTTGACTCGAGGAAGGTATACACACATAGTATTTTGGTGTGTATCGGTTTTATATTATCATGCATAAATTATATAGAAGAGAAGGACAATTATGTCCATGCATAATTGAAAGTAAGTAGAACATTAGGCATGATAAATCATCCTGTCAGTCGAGTACTCTCTCCTTCTCCCCTCTTCCTTCTCTCCTTCTCAACTTCTCTCCTTCTCCCTTCTTTACTTCCTCTCCTCCTTCTCTTCTTCTCCTCCTCCTTCTCCTCCTTCTCCTCCTTCTCCTTCTTATCCTCCTTCTCCTCCTTCTCCTCCTTCTCCTCCTTCTCCTCCTTCTCCTCATTCTCATCCTTCTCCTCCTTCTCCTCCTTCTCCTCCTTCTTCTCCTTCTCCTCCTTCTCCTCCTTTTCCTCCTTCTTCTACTTCTTCTCTTCCTCATCCTAAAAAACACTGATTTGTAACTATTGTTGTTAATGTAAAAAGCTTTGATATAATTTCAAACATATTTGATTAAAAACTTTGAAATTATCTCTTTTTGATGTTTTCCCTTTTTTGCATATATCAACAGTTTTCAATATATCGGAAATATTTATTCAAACATTTTTAAGTCAAAATTCTATATTTTGAAATATCGAAAAATCTAAGTTTTATTAAACATATTTACAAGACATGTTAACATACTTTCACAACAAAAGAAAAAGGGAGAAAATAAAAAACGGTTAAATAACAAAATTATGAAAATATAAAATGATTGATTAAAAAGACAAGATAATACAACGTAAGAAAGATAGTATGAGAGGAGAAGAATAATACTAAATATGCTAAAAAAAGAAATATAAAATTAACTTAAATCGTAAAAAAAGTTGAATAAAGATAGAAAAGTTGGAACAAATATCAGAAAACAAGAGAACTATCGGAACAAAATAGAAAAAGACCCAAGAAAACTGTTGAAAAGGGAGGATCGAATATTATGCAATGATGAAAATGTGATCTCAAGAAAATGATATCACATGAAAAAGATGTTTTGACTAAAGATGGTAATTGGAAGATAAAAATTTTTTTGAAATTGGATTTTCACCAAACAAAATGTTGTAACTATACAAACGTGTGAAATCTAAGATGAAGAAGAAAGATACGATTAAGGTATA